GCTGGCACACTTTTTTACCCTCCTGTTCACAATTGTATAGTATCAACTGAGCTAAACCTTCAACAGGTTACATGTACAACTAGTTGCTATGTACCCTAGTACAGATTTTGAGCAATTTTGTTGCTTCAAATGAATAAAACAAAAATGTGCAATAAACAAATTGATCCTGTGTACCTTTAATCTTTAGCCTCAATTTCATATCAGTCATGAATATAAGGCCAATGCAAAGTCACGTCAATTTTGCAGTCATGCTTCACCAAATCATGTCTCGCAATCATCTTCTCACAAACCCATTTGCATCAGACGTATCCAAAAGGCATCCGCAAGACCTCGTTGCTGTAATGCTACATGTACTAGCCTCGTAGCAAATCTTGGGAAATTGGACGTAATGTGTCATGGAGAACCCTACTCGGGCACCGACACAAGTCAAAACTCTTGGGACATTTTGCACTTCCCTCTGAATATCCAGATCTATGTAGCGTTTTTCCTGTCCTAGTTATCCACAGAGATTATACCCTCTCGCCCGTGAAAATGATTATTTTGTTTTTAAATGTGAACCCTGATAATGCACCTTTGCGACCCATTGAACTAAATAGGGTGGAGCTGAGTATAACGAATATTCAAATATTTTATCATCAACCTTATATCCGATATTTTTTTTTTATTCAAAAATTTCGAAAAATGTGAGTTGGTAAAACTGTTTGTTGTGCGGTTTTATTGTTTGTCATATGCCACACTTTTGGAGAAAGCCACCTTCGTGCATAATTTGAGAGCTGCCACGAGGAGTATTATCCAAAAAAGTAAATGACAAAATAATTGTTGGAAAGCAAACTTGGTTTAAAGATAGTAATGGCACTAAACTCCCTGTGAAATTAGTCTTTCTGGCAAGCTGTCATTTTGAAGAAAACAACAAAAGAAGGTCATTGCCAAAGATGCGTCTTAAGATACATTTTTGGAAATTTCGGTTTGTAGTTCATTTTTTATTCTGCGAATCCGTGAATGGGTGCACGCAAGCATTGACACGACGCACACTCAGGTCAGTGTAACAATATTTGCTAAACAACACTGACCCCCAAATCCATCCATTTCTGACAATTACAGCAAAAGCAAAAACATTGTATATTACCTTAAACATTGTAATTTACATTATGGTGTCTGAAATGTTTTGGCAGGGTCTTGAATGCCGATTTATTCTTAAATATTAAAAATGACTGTTTTTAAAAAAGGGATTAAAGGGAATGTACATCATTGGCTTTTGCTGTAATTTTCAGAAATTAAGTATTTGAGGGGTTAGTATAATAGATCAAATATTGTCACACTGACATGTTTAAAGTTTTGTTTCAAAAAATGCTGGAAAAACCAAGAAAAACAAAAATGGTCAAGTAGTCTGGTTCCCAGACTCCACTAAAAATGAAATTGATCAATGTATGGATGCCGGAAAAATTGTAAGGTAAGGGAACCAGTCTAACTGGCCTGCACCCGTTCATGAACATGTATCCAATAGCAAACAAAATTTGGACTGAAAAAATGGTAAATTTGGAGCAGTAGTTGACAAATAGTCGGGTTTTTCCAACAATGGTCGGCTGACCACCTTTGGGAATTTATACAAAAATACCACTTTTCTTGAAAATGACTTCACACCAGGTGCCATAATTTTACAGGATGCTTTAGACTGTCATTTACCTACACCCTAGTAAGGTTTTTCGTAAAAATTTGGTAGTTTTGTTTTTTGATGTTTTCAAATGTTGTATATTCCCTTTAAGGGGGCATAATGTCGAAAGTCTCCTTTAATTTACTTTTTAAAGTTAGTCTCTGGAGTTTCTCACAAGTAAAAATCAAAACAATATAGATATTGGGGTCTTATTGACGGAATGCGCTTTACAAGAGTGGTTTATTATTATCATTATTATTATTATTCTTTGCAAATCCCACTAAATTTTTATCAGCTGCTCTCAAGACAACTGTAACCACCTGCCAAGAAATTATCCTTGAAAAAAAATTTCAAAAAGGAAAAGCGCAGTCACCTCGCTTCCAGCCTCATCACTTGGCAATCGCTCACAAACCACTCAGGAAATGTCTGCAAGTGTTGCCGGCACGGATCGCGTTAGTCCATCTCCGCGCAAAGTGACGGGAGGAAATTGAGTACAACAATCTAGTTATTGACCCAAGTGTTTCTCTTTATTTTTTATTTTATCGGTCGTCAGTCAAAGGTGATATTTTAATATCCGGATTTCTGTATGGTTATTTTCTTGACAAAGCAAATTTAGTCTGACACTATAATGTACTTGTGAGACTTGATTTTTTCTTTAATCAATAATATTTGAACTGTGTTGGTTTATCGACATAATGAGCCAGCTAGTCAAGTTCTCCTCTGGAATCCTGAAGCCCCTCGACGAAAAGGTCGTCCCAACATGACCCTGAAAACATCCATCGAGCTTGAAACTGGTCTGAGCGGTCCATCTCTTTCCAACACTATGCTCGACAGGGACAGTTGGGCCCAACTCATCAAGTCATTATGAAAATGAATGAATGAAGAAGAAGAATAATATTTACTTTTTTCTGTCCTGTAATACAAGTCTGAGATTCATGGGACCGTGTACTTCACAAACAGTCCACAGAGTTAATCAAAATCATCTAAAATAGTCCACAGAGTAAATCTCCTTGTGCTGTAGGAGTTGACGATAATAACATTATACAGAACGTGCAAAAAACATGCAATATTCAGAAAGCAAATACATGTTATTAAAACTGTTTAATGTTTTTTTTCTTCTGTGAAATTATATCACCGCTACACTATAAAGAAGAAAGGATGTGTGTGTGTGTGAATTTGTTTCTGCATTCAATAGGGGACGTTGAACAATAGGGTCCCCAATTCCCGAAGGTCCCGAATTTGGCTATCGTGTCAAAACAGTTAAAGTACAAACAAAAGAGGGACAATAAGGGGTCCCCGATTTTACTTTACGTCCACTTATTAGTGAAAAACCTGCTTATCCTCAAACGTTTTTGTCCGCAATTGACAAGACTAAAAGAAGCCCAAAATTGCTGTGTTTGATACTTGCAGAAGAATGCACAAGTGGAATGTGGACACCATGTATCTAACGTTAACCGTCTAAAAATACCATTATAATCTGCCTTGCAGTGAAAAATATTTGGCCTAATGTCTTTCAATATTGTTTTCCTGTTTTCCACCTAAAGGGATGTTTCTTCCAACAATTTCAGAGAAAACTAACTGCATGCAGCTTTCATCTTGCTTCAGATCTCTAAGGTCCCACTTTTGATTGCCGAGTATTGTGTCCTTACACTTTTGCAGATGAACTGTGTGAATGGACGATCTCTCTTTCTCTCTCTCTCTCAGAAAGAGGAGAGGCAGTCTTAAGAGAAGCATTATGCAGACAAGAGAGGTCTCAAAAAATGCAAACAAAGTAGCAGAAATGGTATATTCATGCATTTGTGACAGAAAAAAGCTGTAGGTGATGGGATTGTTTGCCCTTGATGATACAAGTATGGAATTTGGCACACAGTCAGAGTATGTCATGAGAAAGATGTTTGGCTATAGGGCCATTGCAGATTTGTCCTTGAAATTGAAAATTGCTTGTTATTCTGCCTATATTTTTTCAAAGGACAAATTTGTGATGGCCCTATAGCCAAATATCGTTCTTAAGACATACTCTAACTGTGTGCCAAATGCCAAGCTTGTATCATCAAAGACACAATTCCCCCAAATATTTCCCCTATCTGCTCCACTGTACCAGCAGCAGCAGAAAAGTCAAGCAACAATGGTAGGCAATGCATCACTAAAACAGTTTCATCAAAAATAACAGATTAGCTTAATTCTTCAGTCCAATCTGGTTGCATTTAATGTAAAAAAAAAAAAAAAATTCTAAAATCACCACCTGACAGCCCAGGTGGTGTACAGTCCCTGACGTCACGTGGGCATGACTCAGTCTCGTGGGGGAAGAGGAAAGTGCGCACTGCTCCCCCCGGCCCTTCCCCCCTTACTTCCAAAAACGGAACCCTGTTCCCCCCCCCCCCCCCACCAGGGGGTGTTTGATATATAAATACCCCTTCCCCTCCAAAGGCCCCCAGAGGTCTACTAGGCTCTAGTCGGGGAACACCAGCCCGTCATCGGCAATCCTTGGGGTATATTCAAATTCCCTGAAGATCAGTATTTCTGCGTAACGTCTCGTTTATAGCTGCTCTTTCTCGCCTGAGTTGTAACCGTTGTTGATGAGAAGTCGGACGTAATTAGGAAGAGCATGGTAAACAGTCTTCTTCTTTTTTTAAAGGGCCTTTATTTTTAAAGGGGCTTTTTTTTTTTTAAAGGGGCAGTGTTGCGCAGCTTGCCTGTCAGGGGTTCTTCCAGTGCATTTTGGGTCTTTGATTGGTGTCTTTTACATCCTTTGGTGATGACGTTCAATTTTTTTCAGTTTTCATTGTTGCGAATGTCTGTTTTTCTTAAAGATGTGTGCCCTGTGGTTTTAACCAGTTTGCGTCGGAGGATGCGGAGATTCAGGCCAAAATAGGGCCACTTCATCACATCACTTCATAACATCTCTTGGTGTTCCGACTTCCATAATTTTTGAACTAAAGATGGTATCAGCATGCAGTTTTCACATCAGTAATGCTCAGATTGTGCTCTTTTTCAAATCTGTAAAAAAACCAAACCAGGGTCGACAAATGACTCATTTAGCTTGATCGCATCACATATGTTGTTAACTGATATCATCAATTTTTACCACCAAAACCTTGTTTGGCGGACTTACATGTATTTTACAGGCATGACAATCTCAAAAACATTTGCCTGCTACCTAAACTTTCTACTTTCTAAACTTTGTTGTTAACAAGTATATGTAAACTGTTGACATTGAATACAGATTTGAGTTTCTTGTATTTCTTTGAAATATTGAAATTGTTTCTTTTAAGAGTAGGATAAAGGTGCTTGAAATTGTCATTTTTAATTTTTGTGGTTTGTTTTCTCTTGTCTTGTTGTGTTTTAACAGGCCACACCTTTTCACCAACCTGTCAACTCTCGTCACTTGAACGACTATTACAAGATAGTCCACAATGCCATGGACTTGCAGACAATGCGAGAGGTATGTGACTTTACAAATGAGTGCAAAATCCTTTTTTCTTTAATTTTTAAGTTGAACTTATTACTGAACCTCCTGATACTGTGCTCATAGCAAATTTCACAACTTGTGGAGTGCCGTGGCCTCATGGTCTGGAGCACTGAATTCGTGGTCTGCAGGTAATTCTGCAGGTTGTGGGTTCAAGTCCAGTGGCGGCTATGGTGCGTGTGCCCTTGGGCAAGGCACTTTGTCACTCATTGCTTCTCCCCACCCAGGAGTAAATGGGTACCTGTGAGGGCAGAGATGCTTATTGTGGTAGATGTTAGCTGCTTTGCCCCAAAATGGCAGCATTGAGCTGTATACTCCCCAGGGAGTTGAGAAGGTATTTGGAATGTTTTATTGGCCCAACAAGCAGGGGTAATAATGATATAGTGCCTTGAGCACCAGTAATGGTGGATACGTGTGCTTTATAAATACACATTATTATTATTATTAAACTTGGCCCAGTATTTGAAAGATGACCTTTTTTTGACTTTTCATCCTCTTCTTCTCCGGTAGAAATTGCGGGCTCGGAAGTACCAGTCTCGGGATGAGTTCCTGAGTGACGTGCAGCAGATCGTGGAGAATAGCGCCACCTATAATGGCGACACCAGCCCCATGACCATGGTGGCTCGCAACATGATGGTGCTCTGTCAGAAGCGATTCGATGAGGTAAATTCTGCGGCTGTTGTTCGTAGTTAACTTAATATAATCTTTAATTAAGAATTTAGATTGTATTTCTGGATTTTGCAGAACAAGAGATTTCCAATGGCATATAACATTTGGGCGAAACTGAGTTCAGTGGCAGAAATATGCCAGTAGACCGTCAACTAAATTGAAGTTGTAAAACAAGTTTTTTGAGAAAATGGCATTAAAAATCGTACTGTTGTGACTGAACAGTCAACAAATAAGACAAGATAGTGCTTCATACCGAAGTATCAAGGTTCACGGTTATTACCCCTGTTCATCAGGCCACGAGACCAGTTTTCAGCAGCAGCTCAAGATCAGCGCAATCTGATCTCTACCCTCACAGGTACACATTCATAATCCATGGTGGAGAGAGGCAATTGTAGTAAAGTGTCTTGCCCAAGAACACAACACCCCATACTCCCAGTCAGGGTTCGAACTCACACACCATTGCACACGAGGCGGACACCGTAACCATTGGACCAATGCTTTTTTTAATTTGCAGAAAGATGAGAAGTTTTCTCGCATAGAGAAAGCCATCAATCCGCTCCTGGACGATGACGATCAGGTCGCCTTCTCCTTCATCTTAGACAACATCATCACAGCGATGAGGGCTGTTCCTGATGTAAGTAGTATCAGATAGACGGTTTTATTTCTGGTAGATACATGTAGATGATTTCAGTTGCACTTGCCTCAGTCAATAAGTCGATTAAAACCCACTACACAAAAACAAAACAACAACGTAGAGCCTTATGGACTACTGTATCGACTGTATTTATTGTAAAGGAGGGAAACAGATAGAGGGGGCTATAGCATTGAGATCATTATCTTTGGAAGTAGAACGAGGTCATAGGTATTTGGGAATAATGTAAACCACAAGAATCGGGCTATGATTGTTTGATATATTTCAACCAAGGTTCTTAAAGCCCCTTGATGTTTGGTGTTTGTTCAGTTCATTTGAAAAGCTGGAGACTTGACTTGGGACTCAACATTTTGTGAAGGACATGTAATTGACTTATAATAGACTTATGATGGACTTGTGATGGACTTAAGATCAACTTAAGATCAGTTAATGAGAATTTTTTGTTAATGGACTTGTGAGGACTTGTGATTGACTTGTGATGGACTTGTGAGGTTTTTTTGTGATGGACTTATGGAGCACTTGTGATTGACTTGTAAGGACCCATGATGGCCTTGTGAGGACTCATGACGGACTTGTGAGGACTCATGACGGACTTGTGAGGACTCATGACGGACTTGTGAGGACTCATGATGGACTTGTGAGGACTCATGATGGACTTGTGAGGACTCATGACGGACTTGTGAGGACTCACGACGGACTTGTGAGGACTCACAATGGACTTGTGAGGACTCATGACGGACTTGTGAGGACTCATGACGGACTTGTGAGGACTCATGATGGACTTGTGAGGACTCATGATGGACTTGTGAGGACTCATGATGGACTTGTGAGGACTCATGATGGACTTGTGAGGACTCATGACGGACTTGTGAGGACTCATGATGGACTTGTATGGACTCATGATGGACTTGTGAGGACTCATAATGGACTTGTGAGGACTCATGATGGACTTTTGATTGATTTGTGAGGACATGTAATCGACTTGTAAGGACTCATGATGGACTTGTGAGGACTCATGATGGACTTGTGAGGACGTGTGGTGGACTTGACTGCAACACTACATGTTGTCTCTTGAATAACAATCCAATCCACATTCTGGTATGTTTGGGTTTTGCCTAGCAGGGTCACAAAGGTAGAAGAACTGATAAAGCATCACCATACTAACTGAACACCTGTTTTTCTTTCTTCTTATCCCTCCTCCTTCTCACCCCTCACCAGTCATGGCCCTTCCACCAGCCCGTCAACCCCAAGCAGGTCAGGGACTACTACAAGATCATCCCCACGCCCATGGATCTGGAGACCATGAGGAAGAACACACAGAAGCACATGTACAACAGTCGGGACCAGTTCCTGGAGCACGTGGAGCTCATGGTCAAGAACTGTGCCGCTTACAACGGTAAGAGTCGGGAGCTACCGGTTTCTGTCAGCAGTGTGAATGCAACACGGTCATGTTAGGAAGGGGGGGGGGGCTTGTCAATAGGAAAAAGAAATCTGTTAACCAGTTCGCGTTGGAGGACGTGATAGCACGCACCGGCTGTTTTAATACACAGGCACGGCTGACTGGTTAAGACTTCAAGATTGCCTTGACTTGCCTCCAGGTGACGTCTTAACATGTTAATCCCTCTTGCCTTTTGTACACACACACTCAAAGTTTGTGAAGTCTGTGGAGGCTGACCATGTGTTGATCTTGAATTGGTCGTTGTGCACAGATATTGTTGTACAATTTAAGCTCCAGTGTACACCCTGGAGTAGTGAAACATATGAGGTTTCGGCAAGAAGTATCGTACAAATACTGTTGAAATGACTCCTTCGAATAAGTATTTGTTGTGTTTGGCTGTATATCAAAAGTTGTCTGCAAAATTTTGCGTTTGCGAAAATCTAAATTTTTCGGAAAAAATAATCCCGGCGCAAATTGGTTGAAAGAAATAAATATTAAAATTATATATTATTTGGAGGTGGAAGGCGAGAAAATATTGAAAAACATGAAAATGAATTTGAGAGCCAAAAATATTCCTTTTCTCCAAATCCTCAGGTGAAGAGAGCAGCCTGACTAGGATAGCCCACCGTGTCTTGGAGGTCTGCAAGGTGGAGCTGTCCTCCAACGAGGAGCACCTGGCCCAGCTGGAGAAGGACATCGCGCTGGCCAGGGAGAGCGCCCTCGAGGCTGCCGATACGGAGAGCCTGTCGTTGGCGCCCAACACGCCGTCCAGTCAAATGGCCAACGAGGACAGCATGACAGGTATGCACACGACAAGCTCAGTTGGTAGAGCACCGGAACGGCAATCCGGAGGGCGTAGGTTCAAAACCCCGCTCTTCTTTGTTCAACTTACAAAATTATTATAATGCACCTAGTCAGTTTCCCTTTGTGGTTTAGGGGAGTCAGGTTGGCGTAGCGGTACTTTCCTCGCCTTCCACCGCTGTGACCCGGGTTCGAATCCCGCCTGGGCCAATATGTGGATTGTGTTTTCAGTCCCTGCCTGATTCCATGGGTTTTCCCCAGCATATCATCCTGGGGTTTTCCTCCCACCTCTAAAAACTGTAATTTCTTCTCATTGTCTTCTCTCCACAGGTTTCTTCAGGCTTGCGAGCTACAGTGCCTGGGGCGCTTTTGAGGAATCCTTGGTTTCATGATCAGAAATAAATAATTATAATAATAATAGATTTGTTTGAAAATTTACATTGAAATTGACTGCCTTTGAATTGTAATATTTTCCCTGTGTGTAGGTTTTGAAGATGACGATGATGTGCAGGGCAATGAGTTGGAGGAAGGAGAGTTTGTGGACATCGAGGGAGACGATGGCGACAAGGTTAGTTGACATTCATTGTACGTAGAAGGGATGGATCCTTGTATGCAATCAGATGTTATGGGCTCCATGCCAAGCACCCCATTATTGGTTACAAACAGAGAGTTGGGGGGGGGGGGTAGGCCACTTGTAGAGCAATTCAAACGAATTACCGATGTCACTAGATGCTCACACAAAGACGATATGTGTTTGTGCACATTCAGAAAGATACAAAGTCAGGCAAACATCTCCCCCTATGAACCAGTCTGTGCATGCAGTGTGTCCCTCCCACTTTCAGCTTCTGAAAGTGTTCACAAAGTGTCATCTACTGTTCCCATGACCTGCTTACTAGTACAGACGACTCAGCCATCAACCTCTTCAAAGCTAGCTGACCGACTCCCCGACACTTGTGAATTAGACTTGTAGAAGTCTCCCCTTGGGCCAAATGAATTCGCTGGGTTCAGTCCTCTTTGCCCCTACCTCACTGACTGAGTGACTGACGCACTTGTGTCACTTTTGAATTAGATTTGCCAAAGCCCCACCCTGTCCCCAAAAATTTGACTGAGATGACCACCTGGAACACTGCTTTTCTAAACTGTTGCATTGGAAGATGTAAATTTTAACCATACAGGGTGTCCCCAAAAAAGTTGTGCAAGCTGATTACTTAACATGAGTATTTCATCTTATGGGGCATATTAATTATACTCTTGTGTGTAATCAGTGAAAGGGCCATGGAAATATGTTCATGCAAACCAGATATCTAACAGATTGTAAAAGGCTATGGGTTTTTAACCCATTCCAATTGCATTTTTACACAGTTAGTGATCTCAGTGCATCAGATTGTCATGGGCCTTTTCACGTTGATGTAAATAAAGTTAACCGTGTAAATCCCATCCCATAGGCCCTTTAATATTGAGGTTTGCCCTTCACTGACATACTCATTAGCACTTGTATACTGTATGTTTTTGACGGGGCTCACTTGAATTTTTTTTATCCTTTGCAGAAATCCAGCTTTGAGTTTATCCAAGATGCTGAAGACAGCATCCTCTTCAACGACCTTCAGATCACGCCGGACAACAGCGAAGAAGAAGACGACGACGAAGACGAAGAAGAGGAAGAAGGTGACAATCCTTTCCTGAACCAGCTCAGCGAGAGCGATGAGTCGGAGAACGAGGATGGGGATGAGACGGTGCGTCCAAACGATGATGGCGAAGAACGCAAAGACAATGACAACCAAGAGGCGGAGAACTTGGATGAGGAGGCTGTCGGTGAAGAAGACGACGACGTGGAGGCGGATGTGGATGAGTCCTTTGAGGCGGAGTATGACATGAGCCGGCCCAACTCGGAGATGGCCGACGCGGAGCAGAGCGAGGAGGAGCTGGACGTGGAGGAAGGGAAGATGATCCAAGATGACGATGATGACGAGGACAGCGACGATGACTTTGTGGAGGTGGAGGATGAGGAAGAAGCCATGGATGAAGGGTAAATCTAATAGTTTGCTAACGGAGTAAAGGCTGGTTCAACTTCAGCCCAAAAGCGTACGTGATCGTGAATTGGGACGTCCACAGAAAGATTTTGCACTGTGAATATGCAAAAGTTAAAACACATTTCAACTCTGGCTAATTTCGCAGCGAATGTTTCATGACGTCAAATTCGTTTTCCCATTCGCACTCACATGAAGTATGAACTGGCCTTAAGGGGAAAATCACACTGAGCTACTAAGTAGCTTACTGAGTTGATTAAGAAAATTGAGCTTAAAGCCTGTCAGAACACTTTATAAAAAAACATTTTGATGCATACTTTTTTTGTATTTGTACTTATTTTGTTCTGGGGTTGAAAGCTGTACATAATTCACCCCATAATCGATGTGCATTGAATATAAAAGAAGATTTTTCGTTTCCTACTCAATTTTTACAAACTTACGAACTCATGCTTACCATCTTTTAACCGTGCCACCGCGGAAGTAGAGGTTGCTATCAATGACATGAAGTGAAATTTAGTCTTGGGAACCTTGGCAGCGCTACCCAGGAAATTCAGAGTATAGCTTGTGCATATTGATTCAAGCTGATGCAAATGCATAAGGTGTGTTCAGAATTTGCTGGGTAGCGCTGCCAAAATTCCCAAGAACTGGATTTGATCCATCCTGTTGATAGTGACCTCAACCAAATCCAGTCTTGGGAACATCGGCAGCGCTACCCAGGAAGTTCAGAGCATAACTCACGCATGTTGATTCAAGCTGATGCATACGTTTGAGGATTGCTTTGGAATTTCCTAGGTAGCACTGCCAAAATTCCCCAAACTGGATTTGATCCATCCTGTTGATCGCGACCTCGACCAAATCCAGTCTTGGGAACTTCGGCAGCGCTACCCAGGAAATTCAGAGCTTAACTCACGCATGTTGATTCAAGCTGATGCACATACATGAGGTGTGCTCGGAATTTCCTGGATCACGCTGCCAAAATTCCTCCAAACTGGATTTGATTCATCCTGTTGATAGCGGCCTCAACCAAATCTAGTCTTGGGTACTTTGGCAGCGCTACCCAGGAAGTTCAGAGTATACCTCATGCATATTGATTCAAGCTGATGCACATGCGTGAGGTGTGCGCAGAATTTCCTGGGTAGCGCTGCCAAAATTCCCAAAACTGGATTTGATTTATCCTGTTGATAGCGACCTCAATCAAATCTAGTCTTGGGAATTTTGGCAGCACTATCCAGAAAATTCTTAGCATTCCACATGGACTGTATTCAGGCTATTGTATGTGTGTGAGGTATGCTTTGGAATTTCCTGGGTAGCACTGCCAAAATTCCCCAAAACTGGATTTAATTCATCATGAAGCACCCTCTACTACACAGTGAATAAAACCAAATCCAGGCTTCGAACAAGACTACTGAGAAATCAAATTATTTATTCGAAATAAACTCATGATCAGTTTATGAACTACATGTCTAATTAGTAGGAAGTTAATAGCTTGGTCAGTCCTAAGCTTTAGTTTCAGAGATTCTAATTAAAGGCAGAAATGTCTTCAGAGCACAAAAGTGAAAATGTTTACTTGGCTTCCACAAGAAAGCATGCTTGTTGCATTATTTATTTGTTAAAAGGATAACAAATTGTTGGAGGTCAAGTTTTTGACAATTTTCTATTTTTTTTCTCAGAAAAAAAGCTATATATCTGAAGCCCTGTTCATCGAACAGCCAGTATATATTAAACTGATTTTTGGATTTGGGCCGTGGAATAGAGGCTTGCCTCATCCCGGCCACGGTTTGGCCTGGTAAGATCATGTGTAGTATCTGTTCTTTTCAGCTTAATATCTGAAACGCTGTACATCGAACAGCCAGTATATTAAACTGATTTTTGGATTTGGGCCGTGGAATAGGGGCTAGCTAAGTCCCCACCAGGGGTTGGCAGTATATCTTATGGTGAAAAGAAAGTCTTAACTGTTTATAAACCTTGGTGATGTTTAAGCATTTTGTTTTGTTGTACATATTGTATATTTTATAAAAAGATCGACCAGAAATCGCAAGAAAAGTGTTCTCATTTGGGAGAAAATCCGAGTAAGTCAACTCATTGGTTAAACATCAGTTTGAATGATGTCCGATGAGTGTAGAACCAAGCATAATATGTTGTCGTAAAGTTATAATATATTTTACCAAACAAAAAAGAAGGAAGGAAACAAAGGTTGATATACATGTATTTTCCCGTGATGTGTGGATGGACTTTGCCATTTTTATGAGCATTTCCCCATTATTATTCCAATAATTTTATTCAAGTGACTTTTTGTTTATAATAAATGGTTCTTGAAATGAAAGCTGCTCAATCATTGAATACAAATCTGAAAAGCAAGGGAGAAATGTACAGAGCTGTAGGTGTCAATAAAGTTGAAGCTTACAAAAAAACAACAACAATGCTGTATTGTAGCGTTTGTTCCATTCTGCGAGTGTACTAAACTGAAGGAATGTTTTACCTTCGGGAATTTGAATGGCAAGGATGGGCTTGAATGCATGTTTTCAACCTGTGGTGAAAGTGAAGAAATTAAGTGTCATTTTAAAGGGAATATACAAAATTTGTATGGACATGACACTAAGTGGCGCTGTTCATGATACAGATTTCCATCTTAAGTATAGTTGCGAGAATATGCGCCTTAACCTTTTTCCAAAACAACGCATTTAAACCTTGTGTACTATTTTTCTACGTTTTTCATTGCTATTGAATACATTTTCATTTTTGGGAAGTTCGAAAAATACCTCAAAATCCCCCTTTTTGTGTTATTCACCACAAAAAGGGGGGGGGGGTGTCCAATAGCCCATCTCCTGGCCAAAAAGGGTAGGGGGGCATATGGGAGGGTCCATGATTGAAGGTGTTTATGAAGTGAAGCGACGCGTGTGCGTCGGTTCGGCTTTTACGCGAGCAGTCAGCCCACGTGGTTTGAGGTTTGATGCCTCGGTAAGGAAGACTGTACAAAATGTTGATGTTCACTGAGCTTTTATTCCAGTTCCAGTAAATAATCCCAGCAAGATAATCCTGGCGAATTAGTTCCAGCAAATTAATCCCAGCAAATTAAAAACCTAAATGAAAATGATAGTGTTTACAATTGTAAATACATGTGATTACAATAAACACAATGTTTTGAATTCACTTGACAATAAAGTTATTATATCAACATGAATGTGAATACAGTTGCATGTAGTGTCACTGTCCGATATGGCACGGAGCTATAAAACTTACCCAGCACCTCGTCTATGTGCAGTTATACAAATGTAAATCTCAGGTGCGGGAGGCTACAGAGCTTCTGTAATACAATGTTAAAATTATACAATATAAATGACATATAAGGGGATGATATGATATTAAATAACCCACAAATTACATCTGAAAAAGTACCCAAATGATTATTGTTATTGTTTTGTGAGCCCCTAAGATATACATGTAACGTGAGAATCGTATGTACGCGCGCCACAGTGATAAGCTGGGGTCAAGGGTCATGCGAATCGAAACAATGCTGTGCAGAATGTATGCAACTTACATGCCCTGTGGCGCTACGTGTACAGTGCACAGAGAAACGTATCACGTGGAGAAAGTTTTCAGACTTTGTCCACGGACAAGACCATCAGAAAATTCCCATTTTCGTCAATAATAAGAATGACATAACATAAAAATGAATATGAACATACCTAGTAGTTGATTATTGTTAGCCTGGTATGTGTGGGTTGTCTGGCTCGATTCCAGGAGCTTGTAAAATGATGTGTTTTGGGCATAAATTCAAAGAGGCAGCTCACAGAAAACGCATTAAGACAACAGAGAGAGAGAAAAGTGGGCGGAGCGTCAGAAGACGCTTATCAATATTCATGATCCCTACAAGTTCCCTGCTTAAGAACCCTCGACCACGAGTGGTTCAATTAAGTAAATATCAAACTTTCAATTAAAATTTCAAAGATGTCCAAATTATTCACCCGTAAATCAACATTATTCCTTCTTTTATACATTTGTACACAATAAAAGTGGTTGCGGAACACTATTGAGGGAATCAATACCTGGCATGGTACATGCACAATGACAGTGAACTTGTCAGAACATCAAATGGTAAAACTAGCAAATTAGCAGTTATAAAACTTCTTAACTTTATGAAAACGATTTAATATTTTTTTTTTTTAAATGCTGATTAGGTTCCTTTAAACGTGTAAGACAATAGCCTTTAATACCAAACAATGTGGAATTTGGATGCTTGAGGTTTAACCCTCAAAATGGAAGCAACAACTCACCATCCACACAGCTTTGTTATTACTTCATAGTGAATCAGAGCTGCAGATACTGAATATGTTATTATACAGCATAAACAGGTTTACTCACAAGAATGAGAATAAATCATTTAAAACTAGCGACCAGTTGTGGAAAATGAAATAGTCCACAAAACAATTTGCAAAAAGTGTTTGATGATTTCAGATCATAATACAATGTTTTGTTAATGAGCAGCATTTATATAAAGCAATGCCTAAAATATCTATTTCTTTTGTTCTACATAATCTTTAAGTGCTAAGAGACTTTTACTGCAAAATGTCAAGATTTGGATTACAAAAGGAAATCCTTTAAAATAGACAAAATCAGGACAATACTGATCCAAAACTTTTGAATGTTATTACTGTTACCACCACAACATCAGGCATAAGAGACTTTGGGCTATCTAGCAATAAAGGCACATTTTTTCCTTTTACATCACCCGTGGGTCCTTTGAGCCAAGAATACAACCAAATAAGCTTAGATTTTACATTTACCTACGTCGGTAACGAAGAGCTACTTCCTTAATGCTTCTACGGTATTTGTGCATGCCATCAGAGGTCAGATGGCAACCATCCACTAGGTATCGAGGATAGTTTACTCGTCTTTGCTGATACACGTGCACTCTTGGGTACGCGCGCATCCTGCGAGGTAAGAGCGAGTTAAAACGTCTCACTCTATGATTGAACGTTGTGAGTGCGACCTGACCAGATCGGGACAGCCTGGACCTTTGAATGACCGAAAACATAACAATGCATCGAGGAGCAATTCCATGAAGGGTGAGTGTATCCAGGAACTGAATGGTTTTATCAACTAGAACTAGTGGAGTTATGTCTTGTTGGCAAAGATCATTTGTGCCCATATCTATGCACAAAATGTCAATTGGTCTTGAACTCATTTTCTGACAATAGTGTCCACTGTTTGCGAAAAATCTGTCATACGTCAGGCCTGGGTGCCCTTCAACGAACAAGTCGCACTTGTTACTTAGCCCTACATAATCAACAACGCACTGATGGCTACTACGAGACTCTCGTAGGAGTCTCGCCGGAAAAGAATGGCCAAACAAATACACTAGTGCCTGATCTGACATTGTTGTCTAGGAATATGTGGTTTACAAAAGTCCACCAAAACAATTCTTATTTTAGTTATATATATATAAATTGTATCTGAGGCATCAACCAGTCCAAAAAATCGGACAGATGAAAGAGAAAGAGGCGGCCGAACACCGTATCCTGCAATGCAGGTAACCCTAATTTACTCAAAAATATCTTACCACAAGGGATATCAATCTCCGAACAAACAAGAACAATATAGTTAAACTTCGGATCACCTCCAAACAATTAATACTTATTGCATCATTTTGCATTTAAAGCTCACTGAAAGACAAACTTTAGTCTTAAAATCAAGTACACGTACAAAACATATGTACAAAATAATCTGCGGTTATCGACTGCAGAAAGCATGCCTATAAAAGGAATGCATGAAGAAGTAATGCTTGTAGAGGCGGATTTCTCTATGTCCCGTTAACTTCACGGGCTACCTCCCTCTCGCATATGCATTCTTGCAATGCGACTGGGGTATCATACACTTAAGTAACTGCGCTCGGCCACTTGCCTGTCTGCCGTTTTTCCTGCAGGCGTTTTGACCTACGTGGGTGTATGTCTTGACTGGCTGGGCATTCTGGATGGGCAATGTCCGAAGGGACCTCCCTACCGCTACTTCCCTCTGCGGTATGATCCTGAGGTGGTCCACTTTCTTCCTCTGGATGAAAGAGCTGTGGGGGAATTGACAAGACAAAGTCATCATCATCATCCGACTCATTGTTAGAGCTGTTACCGTCATCAACGGATGGCAGACATTTCAATGGGTCCCCACCCACCGACATATCCGGCTCTCTACGCGGATCCAGAATGAGTAGTTTACGGTTCACCCATCTGCTGTCACCACCAGCAACTGGCCTTATTAAAAAGAGACTATTTTCCCCATCACAATCTACTATGACGTACGGACGCTCGTCGAAGGTGTTCGCAAGCTTGTGGCGACCTGTATGCGCGGACTGTCTCAACAAGACCCTAGTACCAACCGCCAGATGGCTTGCCTTGGCCTTTCTGTCATACCGGCGCTTGTTTAACTCTGCGGCTCTGGTCAGCCGGTCTTTAACAACCTTGTAAGTGTGTTGGATGATTCGAGCCTGCTTCTGTATACTATTTTCATTCCAGTTGTTTCGTGTGTTGCTGAGCAACTGATCCAAGGGGACAACAGACTGTCTCCCAAACATTAAGGTGTATGGTGCATACCCCGTCACAGAATGGGGTGTAGTGTTGTAGATGTAGACCAAATGGGGGAGCAACTCAGGCCAACGATGGCGACTTGCACTGTCTAGAGACTTGATGAGACCACACAGGGTACGGTTAAACCTTTCGGTCTGACCGTTACCCTGCGGGTGATAAGGTGTCGTCCTTGTTTTCTTAATGTTGTACAGCTTGCATAATTCCTGAATTAACCCACTTTCAAAATTACGCCCCTGGTCTGAGTGTATTTGGATTGGAATCCCATAGTGGACGAACCAGTGATCGCGCAACACACGGGCTACTGTTGGTGCCGTTTGGTCCCTACATGGTACTGCAACAGAAAACTTTGTAAAAGAATCAGTGAGGACCAGTACATCCTCAATGTTCCCCAAGCCGCGATCTAGCTTCACGAAATCAATCGCAAGCCGCTCCAACGGCTGAAAAGCCAAGAGATGGCGCATCGGCGACCGAACAGTGGGAGAGGGGGCTTTGGATATTCTGCACTGGAAGCAATCCCTAATATGGTTATGCACATGAGTAGAAACACCAGGCCAAAAACAACGCTGTTTGATGAAGGACAAGGTTCTTGCAACCCCTTGGTGCCCCCAATGGTCATGGGCTCCTTCGATAATCGTCCTCCTGAGCCTCCGTGGAACAAGAAGCTGGAACACTTCTCCTAGGCCCGCATCATGCACACATCTGTACAAAACACCACCTTTCTCCTTTATGCGTGGCCACTCCTTAATCCAACTTCGGGCTTCTTTGGAAAGTTGTTTTCCAACTGGTAAGTCTTGCCCAGGCTCCCAACGACTGCGCCAACGCTCCCAAACTATCTTGAGGTC